AAATGCAAATCGAAATCATAATTTGATATCACAACACATATATTAGACAGATATAATTCAAAAGACTGACCATAACAAGTATGAGCATATGGAGATATGGAGAAGATACCTAGTAATATACCCACATTACCCACCTTAAAAAGCAGTTCATCAGTTTTTTAAAAGTTTAACATATCTTATAATCCAGCTACCCAAGAAAAATGAAAACATGCCCATATAGAAACTTGTACATAAATGTTTGTGGCAGCTTTATTTGTAATAGTCAAAACCTGAAAGCAACCCATATGTCCATCAATGAGTAAATGTATAAACAATTTGTATATCTATGTAATAAGTCCTATTCAGCAACAATTTTTTATTTTTTGTAGAGTCATGTTCTTGCTATGGTGCCCATGCTTGTCTCAAACTCCTGACCTCAAGCAACCCTCCCATCTCACTCTCCCAAAGCACTGAGATTACACAACTAACCTGGTGCCTGATATTCTCAGAAAATCCCTGGGCTATCTTATTTATCTTGTTCACTAGAGCTTGACCAGGTTACAGGTTCAACAGATGCTAAGGGCTGATGCAGAAAAAGTATCCTCTTCCTTATAAGAAGAGGGGTTCCTTAAATATTTGATAACCTGAACTGAATGGGACTTAACATGAGCCAAATAAAAGATGTGAATAGCTCCTGAATTAAACAACTAAAATCAAAATCACATAACCACATTTTACTTCATTAACTCACCTTTACCCTCCCTGTCTTCCAGTTAACAATGGTAGAGCCCAGTATTGACAGAGCTCCGTTTAGAGACAAGAGTCCTCAAGGAACTGAAAAGAAAAGAGAAGCAAGGAGTGAAAGTATTGAGTATCTACTATGAAGGCTAATTCCTAAAGGAACCATAGAAGACCCTTCAGAATCCCAAACTTGAAAAATACTATATTGTTGCCCAGACAATGTGACATTTACTCATTTGTGTATGTAAAGATTGTACTAAATTGTAACTGCACAGCCACCATGGAAATGGATAACTAAATAGTGCATTAGGCTGGTAATATTACAATTCTCATAGATGGGTCTTAGAAATTCATAAACTTTCTTTCTTGTCCCACACAAGGGAAAAATATAAGGTTTTGTCAAAACACAAAACCGTGACAGAGCCAAGTTAATTTTCTACACAGATGAGTAGAATCATTTAATTTCAGGATCAGAAAGGATTTTTATACATTCAACATTCACTCACTAGATCTTTATTGATGTACAAAGACCTGGGACAAGCTGAACAAACTAAAAAATATATATTTATCCTCTGATTGACAAAATATAAAAGACAACACTGAGTAATTTTGCACTGGTAACACAAACTTTACACAGACTGTAGTAGGTTACATATGTCAAATCCTTATCTAGAGAAGAAGGAATAATTTGGGGTGGGAGAAGAAAGTGGAGAAGATCCGAGAAATGATTATCTGAATACAAGGGGGTCTCAAACTGCAATATTGCAGCTGTGGGTTTACGTTTCTACTTTTAAAACTAGACTATATTTTTTAATTATACTTTAAGTTCTGGGGTACATATGCAGAATGTGCAGATTTGTTACATAGATATAAATGTGCCATGGTGGTTGGCTGCATCCATTCCCCCATCATCTACATTAGGTATTTCTCTCAATGTTATCCCTCCCCATTCCTCATCCCCTGCTATCCCTCCCCTGGCCCCCACACCACCCAACAAGCCCCAGTGTGTGATATTCCCCTCCCTGTGTCCATGTGTTCTCATTGTTCAACACCCACTTATGAGTGAGAACATGCAGTGTTTAGTTTCCTGTTCTTGTGTCAGTTTGCTGAGGATGACGGTTTCCAGTTTCATCCATGTCCCTGCAAAGGACATGAACTCATCCTCTTTATAACTGCATAGTATTCCATGGTGTATATGTGCCACGTTTTCTTTATCCAGTCTATCATTGTTGGGCATTTGGGTTGGTTCTAGGTCTTTGCTATTGTAAACAGTGTGGCAGTAAATATACATGTGCGTGTGTCTTTACAATAGAATGATTTATAATCCTTTGGGTATATACCCAGTAATGAGATTGCTGGGTCAAATGGTATTTCTATTTCTAGATCCTTGAGGAATCGCCACACTGTCTTCCACAATGGTTGAACTAATTTACACTTCCATCAACAGTGTAAAGTGTTCCTATTCTTCCACATCCTCTCCTCTTTACCCAGTCTATCATTGATGGGCATTTGGGTTGGTCCCAAGTCTTTGCTATTGTAAACAGTGCTTCAGTAAACATACGTGCACATGTGTCTTTATAACAGAACGATTTATAATCCTCTGGGTATATACCCAGTAATGGGATTGCTGGGTCAAATGGTATTTCCAGTTCTAGATCCTTGAGAAAGCACCACACTGTCTTCCACAATGGTTGAACTAATTTACACTCCCACCAACAGTGTAAAAGTGTTCCTATTTCTCCACATCCTCTCCAGCATCTTTTGTCTCCTGATTTTTTCATTATTATTATACTTTAATTTCTGGGGTACATGTGTAGATTGTGCAGGATTGTTACACAGGTATACACATGTCATGGTGGTTTGCTGCATCCATCCCCCCATCATCTACATTAGGTATTTCTCCTAATGTTATCCCTCCCCAATCCCCCCAACCCTGCTTCCCCCCCCAGCTCTCCCACCCCCAACAGGCCCCAGTGTGTGATATTCCCCTCCCTGTGTCCTCATTGTTCAACGCTACTATGAGTGAGAACATGCAGTGTTTGGTTTTCTGTTCTTGTGTCAGTTTGCTGAGAATGATGGTTTCCAGCTTCATCCATGTCCCTGCAAACGACATGAACTGATCCTTTTTTATGGCTGCATAGTATTCCATGGTGTACATGTGCCACATTTTCTTTATCCAGTCTATCATTGATGGGCATTTGGGTTGGTCCCAAGTCTTTGCTATTGTAAACAGTGCCACAATGAACATACATGTGCATGTGTCTTTATAATAGAATGATTTATAATCCTTTGGGTATATACTGAGTAATGGGATTGCTGGTTCAAATAGTATTTTTATTTCTAGATCCTTGAGGAATTGCTACATTGTCTTCCACAATAAGAAACTATCATTAGAGTGAACCGGCAATCAACAGAATGGGAAAAATTTTTACAATCTACCCATCTGACAAAGGGCTATTATCCAGAATCTACAAAGAACTTAAACAAATTTATAAGAAAAAAATAGCCCCATCAAAAAGTGGGAGAAGGATATGAACAGACACTTTTCAGAAGAAGACATGAGGCATCCAACAAACATATGAAAAAATGTTCATCATCACTGGTCATTAGAGAATTGCAAATCAAAACCACACTGAGATACCATCTCATGCCAGTTAGAATGGCAATCATTAAAAAACCTGGAGACAACAGATGCTGGAGAGGATGTGGAGAAATAGGAACGCTTCTACACTGTTGGTGGGAGTGTAAACTAATAGACTATATTTTTTCATTTTTGTATTTCTTTTATTTTCCTTTTGATTTTCTTTTTTTTCAGTACAGTTACTTTAGAAAGTTCCAGCCTGTTTCTACTTGCTAAGATTAAACTGGGGTGGGGAGTTGGGGAGGGATAACATGGGGAGAAATGCCACATATACATGATGGGGAGGAAGGCAGCAAACCACATTGCCATGTATGTACCTATGCAACAATCTTGCATGTTCGTTACATGTACCCAAAAACCCAAAATGCAATAAAATATATATCTTTTTAAAAAAAGATTAAACTGAAAGGGCCAGGTGCAGTGAGTGGTTCATGCCTGTAATCCCAGCACTTTGGGAGGCCAAGGCAAGCAGATCACCTGAGGTCTGAAGTTTGAGACCAGTCTGCCCAACAGGGTGAAATCCCATCTCTACTAAAAATACAAAAAGCTGGCCATGTTGGTGCACACTTGTAATCCCAGCTACTTGGGCAGCTGAGGCAAGAGAATCTCTTCAACCCGGAAAACAGCGGTTGCAGTGAGCAGAGATCATGCCACTGCACTCCAGCCACTCCAGCCTGGGTAACAGAGTGAGACTCTGTCTCAATGAAAGAAGAAAGAAAAGAAAGAAAGAAAGGAAGAAGGGAAGGAAGGAAGGAAGGAAGCAAGGAAGGAAGGAAGGAAGGAAGGATAAACTGAAGGAAAGTGTTTATTTTGTTGGTTCTTGGACCACAGATAAAGGAAGAGTAGCCAGCCTCTGCAGGCCTTGCAGGCAGAAATTAAAGTTGCCCTAGAACAACAAAAACTTAGAAGAAAATCATTCAGATTGCTACTCCCTCAAGAAAGCCCATCTCTGCTCATTTCTTGGAGATTTGTTATACTTTGTTAGATTATTAAATATAATTTAATTGAAGAGAAAAGATACATACTTACGAAAAGTTAACTATACAAGACTAGAAAACAGTTGATCTCCAAAAGTATATAATATACGCCAAATTAGCTATATAAACATTAAGTGCTATTATAGTTTGTAAGGAGAAGAGTGCAGCGTTCTTTAAGCCATTCTACCTTTAAAGAAAACTATCTCTAAGCCATCCCCAACAGATATATTTGATATTGATATTTTTAATGTTCTAACTCCTTTTACTAGCAATCCAGATCCTCGGATATAAAGTTCCAAATTACTTCCCCTCTTAACTTTATAACAAAGTGTTTAGAAGAGAAGATAGAGGAAATATCCTGATTTCATAGAGAGAGGAGTATTTTATAATAGTGTGGTCATTTTTAGATACAGAAGCAACATGCACACAGCAGCAAACATCTGTGACCAGCCCTTGTCTGTATTCCAAGTTTTCCCCTGGGGATGTAGAAACAGATGGAAGAAAAAGGAGACACAGAATTCAATGGCTAGCCCTAAATCTCTCAGTAAAGCTTTGATGCCCCGTCACACACTCTGGGTCTGTAAATAAGGCTGCTAAGCCCTCATGACCCTTCTGGACTGCTTCTACAGTTGCTAACTTCCTTTTCTATCTTATGATTTCAGCTTGGGCTTCCTCTGATATTACACCATAAAAAGCGCTGAACACTGTAAGAAGGAACATTTGTGAAGGTACTACAGTGCCAGAAAGAGGTATGCCTGAATTTTTCAAATGAACCTTGCTTTTTCAACTTGCAATTATCTTAACAAAGTAACTTACTTCATTATTCTCACAAAAATAAAATAAATTCTATTTATGTTTGTTGCTAGCTTTTATTAACTCCATTTGTTTTCTGCTAAAATGGCTTTTACAATACTGTATTGTAACCTCTTCACGCTTCTAAGCTATCATTCCTATCCCCCACCAGAAAATGAGCCGTTTGAAGGCAGGGATGAGGTCTTAAGGATTTTAGATTTCCAAAGAAACTCTCTGTATTCATCTAGTGGAGGGTAACATTATTGGGTTATCACAGGAAATTCTAAAAAACAAATTAAATGCTGTTTCAGACAAGAAAAGCCATAATCTGTGAAATGAGTGGCTTGTACCAAATGATCTCTACCATTCTAGGATTCACTACTTGTTTGAAAGTTTTACAATCTTTTTATGGCTTAATACAAATTGTTGACTTCATTATAAATAAACAACTGAACCTAAATATCAAAATTTTTAGAAAAGCTTATTTTGGTCTGCAAGGACTGGGAAGTTATTAATGAGGCTAGAGACCATTTGTTCCTTTGTATATTTTTATAATTTTTTATCAGCTTTATTTAGCATCTTTCAAAGATGTGAGAATTTCCAATTTAATTATAACATGTAATGGACAAATGACTAGTCTATATCAATGATATGGGTGGGAATTTTTATTTTTTAGATACAGGGCCTCACTGTTTTGCCCAGGCCAGTCTCAACTCCTGAGCTCAAGCAATCCTCCTGCCTCAGCCTTTTGAGTAGCCAGAATTACAGGCACGTGCCACTGCAACAGACATTATCTGTGTTTTTAACATTACGGTTAGCCTTACGCCTTAGTACTCTCCTTGATACATTAGGAAGCAACTTTACTTACACAGCAACTTCAGACGCTAACACTGGAAAGATTTTAATTTGTATTGGAATGAGAAAGTAACTCCAAATGGTTTTAAATAACAAATAATACCTTCAAATGTTAAATTTGTCCCATAATTAATTTAGTCATTCACTCAACACTTACTGAGTACTTATGGGCAAGATACATATGTGCTAGGCCCTGTGTGGGATGCTTTTTTATATATCAACCAGATAGTCTGGGGGATAAGATATTTATACAAATCAAGATTTGCAAGATTTAAGTTTCTCTAGAAGTTCTTCAAAGATAGAAATTACTTCAGATAGAGGGTGAGGGAAGACTTAGTCAAGAAAATGTAATTTGAGCTGAATGATGGGTCATTTTTGCATATGCAAGGAAGGAGGAAACGGAATTTCAGGAAGAAGGAAAGACCATTTCAAGAAGAAAAATACTATGGAAAAAAAGACAGCCTGGTGGGAAAGCTTATGGCACATGTCGCTGGTATACTAAAATAGTTGT